CTTGGTATCATATATTTGTCACTTGTATATTTTGGAGAGTAAACATCTGTGATGTTTGATGTAAATATTTTGCCATGCTACTGTTTTTCTAATTCTGTTGTAATTGACTTAATTTTTAAAAGGTTTTCAAGTTTTATGTAGTCTCAATTGTCTTTATCTTTTATGATCTGTTTTCTTGGAAGTCAAAATAGAAGAAATCAGAGCAAGGTTGCGCTTGTAGTATAAGGTTCTTTTATGAGGGTTGGTTTGGGTCTACTAGAGAAAACTATCTCACAAAGAATTATTTTTTAAAATTGGCAATTTGCCTCCTGTCAGAATACCCAGAGGTTTGAGAGGAGTTGAACTTTATGTCCTCTTTTTTTTTTAAAGGCAGTTGGGGTTAAGTGACTTGCCCAGAGTCACACAGCTAATAAGTGTCAAGTGTGGTCTGAGGCCAGATTTGAATTCAGGTCTTCCTGACTTCAGGGCCAGTGCTCTATTCACTGTGCCACCTAGCTGCCCCAACTTTATGCCCTCTTTGCACAGTAGTCCTCACTCCCCTGTCATCTTCTCACAAACCACTGTTTGATCTTGACCAGAGACCCTGTCTCAGAGGTTTAACTTTCTAATCTCCCCAACTTCTGCCTTGGGAGTTTCCCTTTTCTTGTCCCTGCTCTTCACTTCTAAAACTATGACCAAATTAACCTTACTGTTGCTACTAGAAGACATTGTCAGTCTTTGCTGGCTTATGCCTCAAGTAACAGGCCGTGTAATTCTCCACACCAAGTGCTCTTCACTGATCACTGCTCTCCTATGTTTGTGATCCCTCCATATTAGAATGTAATCTCTTTTAAGTCCATGGTCTGCCTTTACTTTTGTATTTTATTTCTGGAGCTTGTGTTTGACAGATATTAAGACAAATGCTTTTTCATTCATTCATTCTTTTCACTCAACAAGGATTTATTAAGTGCCTACTATGTCAGGCAGCTTGGTAAGTGTAAGGAATACAAAGGAAAGCAAAAATAGTTCCTGCCCTCAAGGAGCTTACAATGTAGTGTGGAAATATACTCAAAATTATGTGAAATAAATATGAGCCAACCCCTTAGAGGGCAGAGTACCCTAGCTATTGGAAAGACCATGTATAGGAGGTTGCATATGAAGGAAGCTAATGATTTTAAGAGGCAGAGGTAAGAAGAGAGTCCTTTACAGGCATGGAGAAAGTTCAGAGGCACAGAGGGGAATAGAATTTGTATGAGGAACAGCAAGAAAGCCAGTTTATCTAGACACAGATTGTATGAAAGGAACCATTGTGAGTTAAGGCTAGAAAAGTAGGCTAGAGCCAGGTTGTAAAAGACTTGAAACTCCAAATAGAGGAGTTTGTATTTGTACAGAGACAATAAGGAGACTAAAGTTTATTGAATAGTAGAGTGACAAGATCAGACCTCTGTTTTAGAGATGTAGCTTTGGCAGCTGTGCAGAGTGAATTGAAAAGGTGAGAACCTAAGGCAGAGGAACTAATTAAGAAGCTATTGCAGTAATCTATGTGAGAGGTGATAAAAGGCCTGAACTATGGTGGTAGTGTGTGAGTGGAAGAAAAGGGACAGATGGAAAAGATTTTGTTGAGGTAGAATTGACAAGATTTGATTGCTAAATGCCTGTGTAGGTTGAAAGTTTAAGAATGACTAAAGCTGTAAGGGTGGTGTTTCCCTTGACCACGATAGGGCACTTGTTCTGTTTTGAACATGTTGAATTTGAGATGCCTATGAGATACCTAGCTTGAAATAACCAATAGACTTTTTGTTGATGTGGGACCGGAGCTCAGCAGAAAGACTGGAGTTGGATATATAGATCTGTGAGTCATCTGAATAGAGATGGTAATTGAATCCATGGCAACCAGTGAGGTCACTAAGAGTGTAGAGAGAAGAGGGCTCAGGAACAGACTTCCCAATACATCTACAGTTAGGGGGTGGGATATGGATGATGATCCAGAAAAGGAACGGTGAGACAGGTAGGAGGACAGCCAAGAGAGATCAGTATCAAAAAAAAAAACCCAGAGAGGAGAGGGTATTTAAGAGGAAGGGGTAGTCAACAGTGCCAAATACTACAGAGAGGTCATGAAGGATGAGGATTGAAAAAAAAAAAAAAGCCATTGGTTTTGGTGATTAATTCTCCCTGTAGCCACAATTGTGAAAGGTACCTGATCTTGTTCTCCTAAATTTTATGGTGTGAATTTTTAATATTAATGTCACATATTTATTTTAAACTTACTGTGGTACATTAAGATAATAGTCTAATCCTAATTTCTACCAAAGTGCTTTCTGGTTTTCCCATCTCTATTTTACAATTGAAAAAAGTCCCAGAAAGAGTAAATGACTTGACCAGGTGAATTCACCATTAACTGATAATGCTCAGTTTTCATTTATTTTTGTTTCTTGATTATCCAGCCTATTCAATTGATTTACTTTTCTATTTTCAATCATACCAATAGTTTTGGTAACTACTGCTTTGTAATAAAGTTTGAAATCTGGTAATCTTATGAAGTGGCTTGACCTTCTTCCTCACCCCCCCCACAATCATCTATTGATAATATATAATATGTCTGTCTTTTGTTATAACTTTTTGGTATCTGTCTGGTTAGACTTGTTGATTTCTTCCTAAAGAACTCTGCCTTCTTTTATGTCTTTCCTAATGTCTTTGATTGTTCTTCTGGACCATTCTAGAGGTTCTTCAAGTTGCTCCTTTTTCATTTCAAGTGACTTCACATAATTTATTATGCTATCTTAACCCTCCCCGGGATATTCTGATTAATTTTCCTTTGTTGCAAAGTACTTGGCTACTAAGATGAATTTTTTAAAAATGTGCATTTTTCCTCAGTAAACTTTTGTTTTAGTCATTCTGTTATTTTTTTTCTATGATATCTATGGTGAAAACATACTTATTGCCAATCTGTTTCTCTCAGAATTACCCTTATTCCATTGATGTTGTGCCCTTCTCCCAATCTTTAGAGTCTATTTTGTGTTCTCCCTGGGATTGGATGACATCTATTTCCCTCAGAAGTAACATCACACAGGGGTGAGAGGGTGATTGGGAATCTTTCTTCATAGGATCATAAGATCACTAATTTAGACCTAGAAGGGACCTCAGAGGCACCTAGTTCAACCTCCTCATTTTATAGGTGAGGAAACTGATCTCTCTTTGACCTTTCTTTCAGTTCATTTGTTTTTTATATCAGATTTTACCTTTTTTTCATAATTTTGATTTTGTTCCATTATTTCTTGCTGTCTCACAGGTATTGATTTCTCTTTAGTCTGTTTTAATTTTCAGAGATTTCCTGTTTGGGCTAAGGCTTAACATTTTCTCTTCTAATCTACTTATTCTCCTTTCACTAATTTCCTCCAGAGTTATTTCGTTTTTATCTCTTGCTTTATTTTTATTTATTTTTTGGTGAGGCAATCAGGGTTAAGTGACTTTGCCTAGGATGACACAGCTAGTGAGTATCATGTGCCTGAGACTGGATTTGAACCCAGGTCCTCCTGACTCCAGGGCCAGTGCTCTCTCCATTGCTTCGTCTAGCTGCCCCTCTTGCTTTATTTCTTAAGTATTCATGTAGTTTGTAGCAAAACTATTTTTTCCTTTTTGTCCCTGCTTACTTTCCTCTTCTAGGCTGAATTTTTGGGTATCACTAGAGCAACAATTTTTTTTTATACTGGTTAAGTTCATCTGTCCAACTTCAGTAAAGTAAATTGGGGCTTTGTATGGCTAGGCACTACCTCCTGCTGCTCTTTTTGATGAGATAATACCTTTATTCACAAGAATCTGGGTTCCTGTGCTCACCTTCAATTTCTGGAGTTAGTCCTCCTTGGACCTATGAGGTCCAGAGTAGGTTTTTAGGACCCTCTATGACAGCTCAGGCCAGAGTAGTAGGGACCTTGGAGCCCTGAGTACCTGGACTCTTCTGGTTAAGGATATACTATTCAGTAGATATTCTGTACTGGTTGTTGTCATTCATGATAGCTTTCAAAGGTCCCAATTGTGGGATTCTGACCACCCTGGAATTTTAGGTGAGCCCTCTACTCTTGTTGCCTCCAAATATAGACCCCTACAAGCTTCACATGTCTCTATCCTGACTGTTTTTACTGGAGGGCTGCTGGCTTATTTTCTGTCCTCATGTTGGCTATGCTAATGATGTCCCTTTCCTGTTGCTCTTGGGCATATGACTGATTTTTTTTTTTTCTGTAGTTCTGGGTGGAAGAAGTCACATACTATAGTTTTTCAGTGGATTTCAATATCATTAGTCCAGTGCCAGTTTCAGATTTTTTAAAATAAATATATGGGACCTGCAGTTTACTTCTTTTCAGGCAGCCATATTAGCCAGAATTTCATTTCCTTTGCTAGTTTGTCATGCATCTTTGCTTTTTTTTTTTTTTTGTAAATATTTATCCCTGGGTCATCTCCATCTTTTACCTTTTCTTTTCTTTCAGAGATGTAGGAGGAAGTTATAATTATGCCAACTGAGTCCAGTATGGGCTCATGTTATCATGTTATCTATTCTCTGTGGGCCCTATTGTTTCAATGCTTCTTCTACTCTTTTTTGATTGATTCAAACTTCTCTTGAGCCTCTATCATTGCCCCCTCATCCTCATCAGAAGACCTTTTCATCTTTCTTGACTGAAAATTCTATGTGAGTTCTCTAATTTCATCATGTATCTTAAAACCCTTTCACATCTTCACTTGATCTCCTTTTCTTTCTGTCATCCCTAATGATTAGATGTGTCTTATATTTGTCAAAGTTAACCCTCTGTATTTATGTTTTTGATGGGACTCCTAGCCATGAATGAAGAATTAGTAGTTATTCTTAAGAAGACATTGCCAGCTGCTGTTACTATATTTTCTTATCTTTCTGGTGATAGAAAAATTCTTAAATATTTGTGTTGCTGTGATCATTAAAACACTATTTGTATGTATAAAGAGAAACTCCTTTTTGAGTTCTTGATTTGTTGATATGTTTTTTCTTTCTCTAGGTAAAGCATATTTTAAAGAGAAAATAATTCAGAAGGAGGAAGACCAAATCAAGATGTGTAGCTCTGTTGCTGCCAGATTGTGGTTCTTGACAGATCGTCGAATCAGAGAAGACTATCCCCAACAGGAGATACTGCGAGCTCTAAAGGCTAAATGTTGTGAGGAGGAACTAGACTTCAGAGCTGTGGTGATGGATGAAGTTGTGTTAACGGTCGAGCAAGGGAATTTGGGTAAGAATATGCCTAAGGGAAGGAAGTGATACGATTTTTTTTATCATTATTTTTTTTTAGGCAGTTGGGGTTAAGTGACTTGCCCAGGTTAAGTGACAGCTAGTAAGTGTCGAGTGTTTAGTCTGAGGCCGGATTTGAACTCAGGTACTCCTGACTAGTGCTCTATCCACTTCGAGTGATATGATTTTTGTTTCCTTCGTGGTAGAGTAAGTCTTATTCACCATTTTCAAAAACTAAATGTGACAGGAAGACTTAAAAAAACTTTCAGGTTTCCTAATGGTAAAGTCTCTTAGACCTTTGAAACAGGCCTCTTTAAAGGAATTAGTGAAGGTCTATTTCATGGAGATGTAAAAATTAAATAGATCTCTATCTGATAATTTCAAAGGAAATGTAAAACAATATACTAGTTTCTTTTCATTTCTCCTGTGTTTTTCTTTAGTGAATATTCTGCAGGGTGTTTTTGATTGTCTCCTTTTGATAAAATTGTCAAATAGTTCCAGAGCTGAATAAAATCTGCTTGTGTAGAGATCTTTATCTTGGCATGGCTAGGTGGCGCAGAGGATAGAGTACCCATCCTGCAGTCAGGAAGACCTAAGTTCAATCCGGCCTCAGACATTTAACATTTCCTAGAGGTGTGACCCTGGGCAAGTCACTTAACCCTCGATTACCTCACCAAAAGAAAAAAGAGTTAGAGATCTTTTATCTTTTAATATTGTCACATTTATTTCCCATGAGTAATTATGAATGCCTTTAGTTGAGTCATAAGCATGCTTTGCTAGATCACCCTTACCTTTGCTCTACATAAGGAGAAGGCATATGGAACAGATTTCATATCCTTATACTTTACCCCATAAGTCAGTCCTTACCAGTAGCATTTGAATCTCTGCTTTACCAAGATGTGACTTCTTTGGCCTTATTACTGACTTGGAGGTTTCACTTGGGGTAGGGAGTACTGTGTGGTGACCAAATGGATTTGGAATTTCTGATTGGTTTTCACAAAACCCTTAGTTTAGTGGCCAGAACACTGGATAAGGACTTAGGAGACTTAAGATATTTTCCAGGCCACTTTTTTGCTTTATGATTTTAGACTCACAGTGGGAATTTATGATTCAGTTCTCACCTGTGAAATGGGAAGAGAAACACTATTGAGAATTAATGATATGCACATGAACATTTTTCTATTTTTGAGAATATTTTTAAAACATAAGTGTTAATTTACTTTTCTTTGTAGACTATTGTATTAAATGACTCATTGTCATATAACAACACTGGTATTATTAAAATGGAAAGTTTGATATCATCAAAAGAACTTTGCAATCACCTTTTACAAGACATTCAACATGGAACAAATGGTTACCATTTCACAATTAGTTGAAGAGCTCAAGAATGCAAGATCCCGCTATACTTACTGTATGTTAAATATGAAAAACATTTGATTTGGTAGCAAAGAACAACTTTACTAGATGTTTTTCAACAAAGTGCCTCTTATCTATATGTAAATTATCTAAAATTCCTTGAAGAATATAAACAAACTTTTCTCTAACTTAAAAAAAAACTTTATTACTTCTCTCTGTCTTATGAAGTACTCATGCTCATAATTTTCTATCATCCTCCTAAGATTTTATAAGCTAGTTCTTTAAATATTTTAATTTTTGTTGATACATTTTAACATTGATTACATCCCAATAAACAGTCGCACTTGTGCCTTGCCATTAGAAAAACAAAAGCATTTACTCTAACTATTGTGACCAACAGTATATATGTTACTTTCTACCTTTATGTAACTTACCATTTTTAAATGAAAGGAAGTGTTTTAAGCCCAGTCATTTAGAACCAACATTAACAATTTTGTTTGACCTGAATTCTGTTTTTTAGCGTTGTCTTTATTTATATCACTGTAGCCATGTGTTTTGTTTTGTTTTTTTATCAGCTTTTTTTCCTTTTTGCATCAGATCATATAAGTCTTGCCACATTTTTTATAATTCTTTGTATTTGTCATCTCTTAGCTTTTTGTTATGTTACAAACAGTGCTGATATCAGTATTTTTGTGTATATAGGAATTTTCAGTCCTTGGGGTATAAACTCAGACTTGGGATTGTAGGATCAAAGAGTATAAACAGTTGGTTAGCCTTTTTTGAATAATTATAGGTTGTTTTCCAAAAAGACTAGTCAAGTAGCTAGTGTGTACTTCCTACATTCCCTCCAATATCTATTTCTATCTTTAACAGTTTAGAGCAGTTGAAGAGTAACTTAATCTTTTTAAATTTACATCAATTCCTTCTACAGATTTTAGATGTTTGATGCAAAGATTTTTTCCCCTATTCATATTTATCTAGTTTCATTGATTCTATTGTGTTAAAAGCCTTTTAATTTTTTATAATCAAAATTGTCTGTTCTCTTTTATCTCTTGACTAGTTGTGGATTCTTACCCAGCTGTAAATGTAGAAGACAAACTTTTTTTCTCTTCTAATTTTTTTAATAGTGTGGCCTATTATGTTTAATTCATTTAACAAATCAGTTTATGTTCTAAACCAGTGTTGCTCTTGGCTGCCATTGCATCCTTATCTGTCAATATTTTTAAAAATCTACCCCATTTTTGGCATTGACATATTGTTTAAATAGGTCAGAATGGAGTTGTCTCAAAATTAAGCAATATCTTTTTCTCAATTTTATTGTGGTTAGGTATGGTTTTTTAATATTTACTCTAAGTTGATCAAACCATATGTGTACAACTAATTCAGAAGTGGTTCCTGCCCAAGTAACCATTTTTTTCTTTTCTGTTAGAATATAGATCATAATGATTTCTTTGTAATCTATGAGTTGCTGATCTGCTTTCTCTTTTGATCTTCCTATTGTTTCTAGAACTCCAGAGTTTGACAGTCTGAGGTTCCCCCCAAACAAGCCTAATTCTCATTCTTGAAAATCGTTATTCAGATATTTGAAATTGGCTATTCTGTCCCATTCTCCTCCCCACCCCACCTTCCTCATTATTACTTTTTCAGGCTAAACATCCCTAGTCTCTTCTGTTGACCCTTATGACATAATCTCATCATCCTTCATGATCCTGATTTCTCATCTCTAGATGCTTCCAGTTAATCGCCATCCTTGCTAAAATGTGGTTCCGCTCTCTCCTGTGTTCTTGAGCAAACTGCCCCCATAATAATCCCTTCTTTCTTTCTATCTTTCCCCATCAAATGGTTCCTTCCTGTTGCCTACAAACATGTTCATTTCTCCACTGTCTTTAAGAAACCCTTACTAAACTCTCCACCTCCCTCAGGCTTTTGTTCATATCTCTCCTCTTTTTCATAGTGAACATCCAGAAAAGGCTTTTATGATCAAATAAAAACTGCTCTAGTTTTTTATATCCTTACAACAAGGCCCCAATCTACTTTTCCAAGCTTATCATACATTACTCTTATTTTTATACTCTGCAGTTCACATACTGATCTTTTTGTTCTTCTTCACTCCATTTTTCGTCTTTGTGCTTTGCACTGGCTATTCCCTGTACCTGTAATGCACTTCCTCAATTGTACCTTTAGAATGAATGTGTTGTTTTCTTCAAAATAAAGCTCGAGTCACATTTACATGAAACCTTTTGTTGATCCTCACAGCTGCCTAGTGCCCTGTCCTCCGGTTCCCCTTTACATTATGTACTTATGTAGTACATATTACCTCCCCTAGTAAAATGTAACCTTCTTAGAGGCAGTGACCATTTTATTCTTTGTCTTCGTTTTTCCCTTGCTCCTACCACATAGTGGGTATTTGTTGATTGATTTAGTTCAATGATTCTTCTCATCTTTCTCCTTTTTGTGACATTCTTCTATACTTTATTCTTTTGACACAAGTCAGGATTCTTCTCTCCCTTTTCAGATCCTTTTTTTCTTTGTTTTTACCCTCAGTTCTTCTCTTTTAAATAAACTCTTCATTTTCCAGATAACCTGGAGGACAGAACATATTCCTTTATCCTCTTTACCTTCCTTTCTAGGATAGAGACCAGTCTGCCCTTTAAGCATTCATGAGATTTGCTTGGCAGAGTCAGAAATCAAAACATGGTATATTCTAAGCACTGCTTTCCATGTTTGCTGGACTCAATGTTGTGAGCCTTTTCTTGTTTTCCTCCTAGTATCACCCTGGTGATAATTGCAGTAACAAACTGCCTGTGCGTTCTTCAGCTCTGGAGTTGTCACTGTCCTCAACACAACACCTTGACAGCCACACATACCTCTTGTCTTACTAACATTTTATTGTTAGCTTATAAACCCGCCTGATTTTTGTCTTGCCAATTTCCTTCTGGAATCTTAATTTGATTTTTTAAAAAAGGATATTTTTCTTCCCTGGTCTTCAGCTTGAGCCCCTCTCCTCCTTCAGTTGGACTCTTTTTTCCTTCTTCGGGTTCTTTTCCAGTCGTCCTCTTCCTTATAAGACTAGCTCTTTTCTTCCTTCAGCTTTAACTCCATTTCCTCCTTCATCTCTAATTTTTCTCTTACTTCAGCTTTTTCTTAATCTTATCAAATTTCTCCTCCTCAAATTTAGTCCATGGGCGACTCCTTCACAAACCTTCTAAATTTCCTTTACAATTTATTGCTCTCTCCTCTCCTCATGCAGCCTTTTCATATAAAAAACCAAATAATTTAGTCTTCTGACAAAATGACTCATTAATATCGATCAAGGAAAGACCAGATTTTAGGTGGCCTATACTTGGTGGAAGGAAAAACGAGTAATTAAAAAAAGAAGTAAAATTAATGAACAAGATGAAGAAGGAACAGAGAAAGAGGAAAATGAGGAGAGACTATTACAGAAGACAAGAGTGTAAAGTAGGAGGAGTAGCAGTTCACAACTCTATCAACAATGCATTAATATGTCTGTTTTCCCATAGCCCCTTCAATATTTGCTTTTTTCCTTTTTTTGGTCACCTTTGCCAATCTCAGGTATGAGGTAGAGTTTCAGATTTGCTTTAATTTGAAATTCTGAGTGATTTAGAACACTTTTTCATGATTGTT